GAACTGGCGTCTATATGGGATCCCGGCGCGTACAAGGAGAGGACTTTAACCACTAGGCACCCGCGTCGGGCCGGACTCTTCCCATTTTATAAATCGTGGAGCTGAGTGTCCAAAAAGTTCCTACTACACACCCAGCTAAATCAGCAGAGCCACCTGAACTTGAATTCAAGTCAGATATGATCTCCTTCAGTCATATGACTAAACATTCCTTAGCATGGTTTTCTCATGGTTAGTCTATGCTGCTCCTGATACTTTATGTCTACGGATACTATGTAAATTGACTATTGAATTCCTTTAGCCCGAGGTCACTACATCCTGTTGGGCACTAGATGGTGCTCTAAGCCCACATTTAAACAAGTCTCCCAAAGCCCCTGGCCGAATAAGAGGTTTGTGAGGGGGTGGATTCCAAGGAATTCGGACAAGGAAGACTCATGTTGTGGGATTCACAGCATATGCTTTCAATTTGGTGCTCCTTTTGTAGTCCCAGACAGAGCCTATATGCTTGCCAACACCAGCCGCACACTGGGATCGTGTCCTGTTAACTTCAGGGGGTTTAATCCCATGGGCGTTCATCATGCGTCCTGTGGGCCCAGCAGAATCTCTTGCCCTGAAAAAGAAAAGTCTGGAATTATAGGGAATCCTGCCGCCTGCCTCAGACTCACATACTCCATTTTAAACAACTTAGTCTAGTGCCCGGCATGGGTGTCTAGTGGTTGAAATCCTTACCTTGCAAGCACCGGGATCCCATATGGGCTCCTATTCTAGTCCCTGCAGCTCCACTTCCCGTTCCAGCTCCCTGCTTGTGGCCTGGGAAAGCAGTCGAGGACGGCCCAAAGCCTTGGGACCCTGCACCCACATGGGAGACCTGGAAGAAGCTCCTGGCTCCTGGCTTCTGATGGACTCAGCTCCAACCATTGAGGCCACTTGGGGAGTGAATCATGGGATGGAAAATCTTCCTCTCTGCATATCTGCCTTTCTGAAAACAAACAAACAAACAACAACAACAACAACAAAACCTGTTAGTCTAAAGGGTTTTCTTTTTTCTTTCTTTTTTTTGCATGGTATCCATGAGTTTGTTGGAGGGGATTATGCTTGGAGAAGTGTGATTCCTGTTACCTGCTGACAGCTTCTCACTGGTCCATGGTTCCAGGGATCGCCACAGCCTAAGCTTTCAATTCCTGGATGTTGTAGCGCTGCTTTGGTCTATGACCAGCTGGCAATAAACGATTTCTTTCTAGGACATAGGGGCCCGTGTGTCTGTTTTTATGCCAATATTTTGGCATTTTAATGACTGTAGCTTTGTAATATATTTTAAATCAAGCAGTGAGATGTTTCTTGCTTTGTTCTCTGTGCTCAAGATGGCTTTGGCTGTAGCCTTGTTTCATTGTACGACGAAAATGTATCTAGTTCTTTTTCCTAGTTCTGTGAAAAATATTGTTATTTTGATATGGATTGAATTTAATCTGTGAATTGCTAAGGGTAACTTTGAATCTTTCAGTCCAGCAATATAACATGTCTTTCCATGTCTTTGTATCCTCTTCAATGTCTTTAATCAATATTTCTAGTTATGTTTTAGAAATAATTCATCTCTTCAGTTAAATTTATTTTGAGTCTTTTTTTTTTTGGTAGATACTGGAAATAGGATGGTTGTCTTGATTTCTTTTTCGTGTAATTCGCTCTTGGACAGTGCTCCAGTTTGCTGCACACTGACCCCTCACCCTGAATCATCACTAACTTCATTTATTGTTCCAGAGCTTTGGTGCAATTATGGTGGGTTTTGATGTCATCTTTGAGCTTTTCTCTACAGAATATCATGGGATTTGCAAACTTATAATTTGGATGCCATTTCTTTGCCTTGTCTAATTGCTCTAGCCAGGACTCCAAGTACTGCGTAAAACAGTGTGTGGGCATTCTTTCATTGTCTCACGTTTCAGAGGCAACGTCTTAAACTGTTCCCAATTAATTTTGGCACTAGTCATTGGCTTGTTCTACATGAGCTTTATTATGCTGTGGTACATTTTTTCTATACATAATTTATTTAGATTTTAATCATGAAAGCGTATTGGTTTTATCAAGTGCCTTTAGAGATGATTACATGGTTTTTGTTTTTGTTCTGTTCATGTGTTTTATTGCAATTACTGGCTTGAATATGTTAAACCATCCTTCCTTCCATGCGATGAGCTCCACTTGGTCATGCAGACATGGTTAAGAGGCCGTGGGTTTGTACTAGGGAAGCCCTTATTTGAGTGTAGGTTGGTTGGGCCAGGCTCCATGCAGAATGGGCTGGGCCCCGTGTTCTAGTGTTCCCTAGTGCTTGAGGGAGGAGCATTCTGATACCTGGAACCAGGTGAATACCATGAGCTCTTTCTGTAACAGCCCACACTGTCATGTTGCCCTCGGTTGCCGGGGTCCCTGCACTTAGTGGCCTGCTGTCTTGTACTTCTCATCTATTCTGGGGGAATACTACACTGTGAGGCAGGTGGGCGCAGCCACCAGACTGTGATGTGGCTGCAGAAGGCTCTGTTGTGGAGAGTTTTTCTTGATCACATCTACAAGGCTGGGAGCAGAGGCATAGGAGCAAGAAGCAGCTGCAGAGGGGTCACCAGGGTTCCTCAATGAGCACTGATACAGATGGACAAAGGGCTCATCCACAGAAGAGCAGCCAAAAACTTCATCTGGTCTCCCGGATGGATAACGGGAGCTCAACTACTTGTGCCATCACGTCTCCCGACACGTGCATTAGCAGGCAGTTGGAGGAACAGAGCCCAAGGGCATGTGAGTCAGACATTCTAATATGGAATGTGGGTGTCCCAATTAGCACTGTACCACTGTACCAAATGCCTGCCTCTGCAAGTTTGTTGGCATTAAACACACACACACACACACACACTCAAACACACGACAGGTGTGCATTTGACAAAGCAGTTAAGCTGGGCTCTTTGCATCTCCGTCAGAGCACCTTGTATCTGGTTGACTACTTTTGATTCAGCCTTCAGCTAGTGTACACCAGGGAGAGACATCAGATGACGGCATAAATACTCGTGTCCCTCACACTCAAGTGGGTGTCCTGACTGGAATGCCTAATTCTTGTTTTTAGCCTGGCATGGCCCAGGCAGTGGTGGGTGTTTGGAAATGAACCCACAGAAGGAAGATCCCTGTTTCATTATGTGTCTGTCTTTCAAATAGCATGAAAGTCAGCAAACAATAATTTTAGAAGATGCTCACCTCTGTGTTTAGTTATTACTCTATTACAAACACACATTCTTTTTTTTAAAGATTCATTTCTAATTTTATCGGAAAGATAGATATTCGTCCATATAAACAGTAACAAATCTGTCACAATTAATTACAAATTAAAATATATATTGTTTTCTAAACTTTATTATAAATGATCTCATGGTGAATCAGTCATTATTTCTATTATTATTTCTCACGTGTAAGCATTTTTGACCACAAACATTTTCATTTATTCCTTTGGGAGGTGGAGTCTGAAGGGAGGGCAGAGACAGCAAGAAAGGATTTGCTGCCATCTGCTGGTTAGAGTTGTGCCATGCTGGCAGTTGGGAACACAAAACCAGGTCTCACTTTCTCCAGTTATCGCTGTTGCCTCATAGGCTGTGAATAGGAAGCTGGAATTGAGAGCTGGGGGTGGGCACTGAATCCAGGCAATTAGATATGGAATGAGAACATTCTAACTGATCACTTAATTGTTTTTTTTTAAAGATTTATTTATTTTATTACAAAGTCAGATATACAGAGAGGAGGAGAGACAGAAAGGAAGATCTTCTGTCTGATGATTCATTCCCCAAGTGAGCGCAACGGCCAGTGCTGTGTCGATCCAAAGCTGGGAACCAGGAACCTCTTCTGGGTATCCTACATGGGTGCAGGGTCCCAAGTTCCAAGGTTTTGGGCCGTCCTTGACTGCTTTCCCAGGCCACAAGCAGGGAGCTGGATGGGAAGTGGAGCTGCCGGGACTAGAACCGGATCCTATATGGGATCCCGGGGCGTTCAAGGCGAGGACTTTAGCCGCTAGGCCACACCGCCGGGCCTGAACACTTAATTGTTAAGTCAAAATCCTGTTCCTGTAATACCTTCTTTTCCTCTGGTTGCTTAAGATGCTGGACTCTATGCTTGGTACATGCTTGCAATGAAAGAACCTCAACTGAACTTGAACTGTGGCAATGTAGCAAGGTGGAGGCATCCACCATGGTGGGGGGGGGGGAGTTGGGGAAGGGGGAGGGGGAAGGGAGGAATCCCAGTGCCTAAAAAACTGTGTCATATAATGCAATGTAATAAAAAATAAATAAATAAAATGAAAAATGTTTTAAAAGTCATTATATGAGGACCCGGTGCCATGGCTCAATGGCCAAATCCTCACCTTAAAAGCTCTGGGATCCCATATGTGTGCTGATTCATGTCCTGGCCACTCCACTTCCCATCCAGCTCTCTGTTTGTGGCCTGGGAGCACAGTTGAGGACGGCCCAGAGTCTTGGGACCCCGCACTGACATGGGAGATCCAGGGACGGCTTCTGGTTCCTGGCTTCAGCTAGGCTTGGCTCCGGCTCTTGAAACCATGTGAGGAGGGAACCAGAAGACGGTGGATCTTTCAGTCTCTGCTCTCTAAATATGATCTGCCTTTCTAATAAAAATAAGTGGATTAGTTAAAGCTTAAGTTGTCTTTTCACCCTTTTTTGGTGTCCACCAAATATATTCTAGATGAGTAGACTCCCAACTCTTTCGTCTGAAGATAGGTATTTTTGTTTATGAAAAGGACTCTAGTTCTCAACATAGAATTTGATTCTTAGCTGTCTCTTTTTTCCCCCTTCCTTTTGCTACAGGTAATTGTGAAAAGAGAAGAAAAACGGAGTATTACCTGCAAAGGCCAACCTTTGTCCCAATTCTCTTCCAGTTAGTTTCAGTGACTGAGTTAGTTTTGCTGAGTCATGGCAGGGACATTGGGAGCAGAAAGAGGAATTCAGCTTTCTGGAAAAGAAGTGCCTGAGATTTCTAACTGCCAACTTGTCAGCGCGGTAGAACCTGCTCCCTGAAGAGGGGTTTGAGGAGACTGAGCGCACAGCAGACAGTTGGAAGACTGCACAGGTCAGTGCGTGTGCTTTGTTAACTTCAGCTCAGTGATTTCTGGAGACCACAGATCAAAGTACAGCCTCCCAGGTCATTGTACTTATGAGATGCATTTCATCGTTTGCAACAGTCCACCGCCTCCTCCTGGGTTTCCCTAGGCACCTGTGCAGAGACTGAGTGAGAACGCAGCTTTGCAGGTGAGACCAAAGCAGAGTTGATGTTCTGGGGTCTGTGGTCTCCTTTTGCTTCCCCAGTGAGGTGGAATGAGGCAACCTGTTCCTGTTGGAGTAGATAAAGATTATTGAGTTTATTTTTCCTAAGAATTATGCTGTGTAGGAGGTAGCTCTTTCACTTGAAAAACCTTTGTCGGTCACCTACTGTATACAGAATAGTTTGCTAGGTCTGTGAGATATTCTTGAGTGGACTAAGTCAACTTTTGCTCTGAACTGATAAGTCTGGAGAGATTTGAAAGCTGGCTATTGGTAGATGGGTGAGATGGGTGACAAAAAGTGCAGTCGCCTCTGAAAAAGAGCACGCTGGTTGAGATGACGTATTCTATGCAAGCATATCTCATGCGATCTCTAGTGGCGTTCTATAGCAGTGGGATATTCTTGGATAACCGGTATCCAGGGAATTCAGTGTCCTACTAACGTCACAAATGGGGTAGGTAGATTCTGGCACAGGGACTAGAATATGCAGAAGATGAACTGCTGCTTTAAAATTAAAAAGAGACTAATTTCAGAAATCTTGTCTGTAATGCTATCATATTACTTGTTTCTAGAATTTTATCTGACTATCTATCATCTATCTATCTATTCTGTCATCTCTATCATCTTTATATCATATCCACACATCCTTGAATTCTTCAAAAAGTTCACAGAAAATGTGTGAACTTTGCTAAAAAAACTATGCATGGCTTTCAATATATTTTTATACCAAAAAATAAACTCATCTTAAACACAAAATCCAAAATCCAGAACTAGAACTCCTAGGTTACATGGTTTATATATTTATTTAGGCAAATTGTAATCATTTGAAAGGCAGAGTAAGAAGGACAGAGGGAAGAGAGAGAAAGAGAGGGAGAGACACTGGTCAACTAATTGGTTTCCCAAATGGCAACATCTGGGATGGTCACGATTGAAATAGAAGCCAAAAATGTCATACACGTCCGCACCCGCCTCAGGTACGTGGCAGCAACTCACACACCTGAGTTATCATTCGCTGATTCTCACGTGCATGGGCAAGGAATTGAAGATGAGGCAGAGTAGACATTTATTTTATTTTTTTAAAAAGTTGTTTATTTATATTGGAAAGACCGATTTACAGAGTGAAGAAAAAGAGAGAAATGTCTTCTGTCTACTGGTTCACTCCCCAAGCAGCCACAACAGCCAGAGTTGAGCCAATCTGAAGCGAGAAGGCAGAGGGTTTTTCTGGGTCTCCCATGTGGGTGCAGGGTCCCAAAGTTTTGAGCTGTCCTCTGCTGCTTTCCCAGATCACAAGCAGGGATCTGGAAGGGAAGTGGAGCAACCAGGACACAAATTGGCACCCATATAGGATCCCATCATGTGCAAGACAAGGATTTAGCCATTGGCCCATCATGCCAGACCCTCAGGGAGAGATTTAACTTTCTGAACCACAATTTCCAGCCTAAAACCTAGCTTTTAACTCAATTTTACTTGAAAATTTGAAGTACCCTCATGAACGTGCACATGAAAACTATATATATCTAATTTAAAATTATGTATTCCTTTTTTCCTATTACTGTAATATTCATTCTAATATTTTCATATGCCAACATGTACATCATAGTTTCCATGTTGTGGGTTGCATAATAATATAGTGTTGGCCATCATTATTTATATAAAGTATTTTATAGAGAGACAATGAAATTAAGCTTAGTCCTCTCCTATAAACTTGTATTGTATTATGAAATTTTTTTAACCTTATGTTTGTTTTTAATCTTAATTTATATAAGATTTTATATATATATATATGTGTGTGTGTGTGTGTTTCCATTGATGTTTTGCTGTGTGAATATGGAGTGTACTGTTTAATTCAGGGTAAGTATATTTATTCCCTCCAACATATTTTCATTTCTTTGTGACAAAAACATTCAAATTCTTTGTTCTTCATTTTTTTGAGACTTGCAGCATTTTATGTTATCTATAGCCATTCTGGTGCGTGAGCTTACTCTTCCTAGTCCCTGATAACCCTTATTCTATATTCACATTCTATGAGATCAGTTTCCGGTCAGATGATGCATATTTTCTCTCTGTGCCTGGATTATTCACTTAACAGAATGTTCTCCAGTTCTGTCTGTTGTCAATGAATTTTCATAGAATAATTTTATTCATCCCAAGGGCTGTGTCGGTGGTGTCAGGATTTCTCAGTGCCGTTCATAGAACTTTGCCTGTTGCCAATGCTGGGAACTTGCCCAAGTGAGTCAGTTTCCTGAGTCTCTTGGTTTCCAGGCAACTACATCTATTAAACATCATATTTATGTGTTCAGGATGTGTGAGTATGTATGCAGCAGGTTGTACCAAATGCACTTGACAATTTATGAATATTACATCACCTCCAGTAATCTGGCAGCGAATTCGATGTTGCTTCTCATGTAGGAGACACTTCTAGCAAAAGTTCCGCAATGACCTTGTGTATGTCACGCTGCTATTGTACCGAGGCTTTCTGAAACTCAGCACACGTTTTTGCAGTCTCGAGAATTTTTTCAAAGACCTTATGGTACAAAATCTTCATACACAATATATAGATGACTTTTTTCTTTTTCAAATCAGCATAAAAAGTGAGTGTATTTAGTCACACTCAGTTCATAACAAAACAAATATGTGACGAGAGCAACAGTTCCCGATGCAGCATGTTTAGGGAAGTGGCGAGAAAGAAAGTTGGTCGAAGGGAGGTAAGGGGACTTTATCTCCAAAAAGTTAGAACCAAGAAGCTCCCCAGTCATCTGGCATCCACTCAATGTTGTATTTGTGGTCACAAAAGTTCATGATAGGAACATTAGTGATCTGGAGTCTTCGTGTAAGGGCTCATTAGCTGCGCCTACCATGTAACACTTGTGCTGAGTCACTCTCTGTAATAAACAATCATCTACATTGATTACTTTTTGTGTAATCTTTCAAATCTTGGACCTTTGGCAATCCCCAGTGTCACTTGATCAATACTTCTGCCCCAATTTCTCAATTTCTGCCATCTCATAATCAGCGATACGAGGGAAATATTTGAAATACTGACAATCCATCTTGATTATATTAAATCCACTTTGGCTTTAGTGGAGAAGCTCATAAAGTTGATATCAACCACGATGTCCTTCAGTTCACTAGGGTCTTTATTTTTCTTTTTAGATTTCTAATCATTCTTTTCTTTAAACCTCTCATCTCTTAGCATTTCCTTCATGGTTGCATACTTTCTTGCTTATTTTTACTTCCCCATGTTCTGGCTGTGCCCTTGTTTTTTCCCGATTGCTGACTTCCAATAAGTATTTTGTCTTCATTCACTCAGGCTGCATAAATGGGATGGTGTATAGAAAGCAGAAAATAATTTATGATAGTTCTTGGAAGTGGATAAGACCAATATCAAAATACTGGCAGAAGTCTCTGGCAAGACTCCTCTTGCTTAAAGTTGGTGACTTTTTGCTGTGTCCTCACCTTCTGGAAAAGGCCCTCCTTTTATGAGCTAACCCCCAAAGGCTTGATTTTCTCACTCTGGGGATGATGACTGCAGCATAGGAATTGTGGGAGGATGCCAGCATTCAGACCACAGCTGACGTCTCTGTGTTAATAAAGTGATTAAATGATTACATTTTAATTCAAAGGCTTCACATATCCAATCATTAAATTAACATTTTAAAATTTAACATAATATAGCGTGATTAACTCCGAAAAGAAGGGGCAAAATGTCAACTCTTGAACAAACTATGCAACTAAAATATGTATACAACCCTAGGAGAGTACAAAGGAAAGAGTGATGTGGGTTGAGGGTCAATACAGAAAGTCAATGGGGAAAATTGATATTTCAGTAATACTTTGACAAAGGAATCAAAACTCTACTTTGAATATAGTGTAACCATAGGGCATGCTTAAAAGGACAACCAAAGGTATGACAGCAGAAAGGTTCTGTGAAAGAGAGAACAAATGGGACTAATATAACAGACTCTGATGGTTTTTAAAGAAAAGATAAATATGACCAGGATATAATAACCATTTCAATGGTTCAAACCAACACTTTTTCTCCCCTTTGTCCTCTTAAGCCATGAAGGAAACTGAAGGTCAAGTGAAAGCCTCATTGTTAGCTTGAGGTTACTGACAAAACAAAAACTTGACCGAAGGGAAACACACATAGAAAACTCGAAGCATAGAGTTGACCAACCATTCCACAATTTGTTGAAACAAAAATACTACAAAGTCTAGTGAGATTTCTTTGATCATTGGAGCCAATTAAAACAAATTCCAGCACAAATTCTGCAAGCGCGGATTCTACTTGGTTATCTTAAAACATCAGTGTTGGTAAAGTCTGGTTGTTGCGTTACTCCGTTACTCTGTGTTACTCTGAACACAGCAACGAGCAAGCTGGGATGCCTACGTGAGCTGAACTTAGCACCTGAACGTTGACAAGCTAAGGCTCATGGACACTGGAAACAGGCCAGATATTGTTTAAACAATTATCAGAATACATGTTAAAATTAGGAATGAAGGAAGTAGAAGAAGGTACATGATTTCAGGTGCTAGTGAGTTGCTTCAAATGCACACAGGCTATTCCATATCTGAACTTTGAGTTGAATCACCAATTGAATTTAACAAGAAGACATTTCCCCCCATAGTTCTTAACATAAAAGAGTTAGACTGTGTTGCCCAGGAACACAGCAGGTAATCTATCACTTAACATTATTCCCTCTTCAATGACCACTTCGATTTCAGCTTTAGGAACTCTGGAAGTCTCCACAAAGAAATAGCGTTTTCCTCTTGCAAAGGCTCAAAGAGCTCAAGCACCATTCTTGCTGTAGTATTTGGTTCACCATTTTTTTTTGTCAGCATGTTATGAGCCACTTCTTCCAGTAATGTCAATTTGATGAATTGAGTAAACAATATAGAAGTATGCTTTGTGTAACTTAGTAATGCCATCTCAAAATGACATTTTAGGGATGGCCCAAGAGTTAAGAAGTAAGGAGTGAGAATTGGGT